AGCCTGGTCTGGTTTTGTGTTGGAGGGATGTGACAGCTGCCATGGGTAGTGTCAGAATGCCACCAGGAGCTCCGGGCTCCCTGGAAAGAGGCAGGCCCTTCCTGGCCATGTGGTGGTTATGTAGATAGGGCAGTTGGGTGCCCATGACCCAGCACTCAGTGGGAAGGAGCCCAGAGGGTGCCGCAGGATTACTTGGTCATCTCCTTAAGGCCTGGAGGAGCAGCTTACTTACTCAGCCTATTGACATAATTGCCATCACATTAATTACTTATGGCATGCCACATCTTAATTTACAACTTCATAAATTACATGTAAGATATAAGAATCCTTCCCTGGCCAGTTTGGCTCAGTAGTTACAGCGTCAGCCCATGGACCAAAAGGTCTAGGGTTTGATTCCAGGTCAAGGGCATGTACCTTGGTTTCAGGTTCGATCCCTAGCCCCATGTGGCAATTGCTGGAGGCAACCAATCAATGTGTGTCTCTCCTTCCTCTCTCCCTTCCACTCTGTCTGAAAATCAATGGAAAAAATATCCTCTGGTGAGGTTTAAAAAAAAACACCACAAAAAAGATATAAGAATCCTATCCTTAGTAAGCCTTAGGCACTTACCTTACTTCTTGATTATGACTTTAAAAACTTATGTAGAAATGTATTAACACCAGTGAATATTGACAGTATATTTTGAGAAAAGCTCTTCTTTAATACTTACCCCTTTAAAGGCCTGGTATGTATTCACAGGGCTCTCCATGAAGGGGTGCTGTGTGGCCGGGGGGGAGGGTGTGGTGGTGAGGGGAGGATCATCTCTGCTCAAGTGATTTCTCCCATCACTCTCCCTTAATACAGACAATAGAAAGTGGAATGTGTTATAAAGCTTTAGAGGTATTGAAGGATAGGTTCGTGGTCAGCAATCTGCGGCTCGCGAGCCACATGCGGCTCTTTGGCCCCTTGAGAGTGGCTCTTCCTAAGCCTTAGGAGTACCCTAATTAAGTCAATAACAATGTACCTACCTATATAGTTTAAGTTTAACAAATTTGGCTCTCAAAAGAAATTTCAATCGTTTTACTGTTGATATTTGGCTCTGTTGACTAATGAGTTTGCCGACCACTGGGATAGGCGATAGATACAGAGATACAAATAGTCATAAACACAGGAAAAAAGAATCTGAGTGAGAGTGAGAGCACAAAAGAAGGGGGTGGGGTCATGTAGTTGACAATCCAGTGGGGAGGAGAGATTAGAGAAAGAAAGCTGTCAGTCACTGTGGCAAGCACTAGGAAGAAATTGGTCCAGAGGCAGAGAAAACACCACAGGGTATGAGGGATTAACTTTCTATGGGGAGTCAAAAACTCACGTTTCCTCTGGGGATGGGAGAAGAATATGCAGAAGGCCTGGGGTGAGAGAGCTGGGTGGCTGGAGGTACTGACAGCAGACTGTCATTTCAGCAGAGCAGCCAAAAGGAAAAGTGGTAAGAGAGCAGGGGAGATTCAACCACCCAAATTGCCTAAAATCACCTCATAATTTCTCATCACTATCTCTACAAAATAAAATTGGAAAGATTCAATTGAAATTGCATAGATAGATAGCTAAGCTTTATATTTTTCTTTTATTGAAGTAATTTCATAATAGGTTTGTAATATACTTGGAAATCAGTTCTATGATGTCATTTCCTAAACAGTTTCCAAATGCCTTTATCATAAAGAGTTCACATTAAATAAAACACTTTCATCAATTCAAGGTCCAACTTATTTATCATGGCAAAACTCCAACTAATTGTGAGTCCAAGGGGAGATTGTTTTGCACACAGAATTAGAAATATTTATAGCGTTAATAGTCACTTTTATGTACTTTTTATTTACAAAAGTATCCATCTCAAAGTCGCTTGAATTTTGGAAAGTTCTATGATCATTTCATGCACAGTAAAATTTGTGTACAGTACAAATTAAACACAGTTTTTTATTATTCCATTGTCAATTGATTTGATATGAGGTAACTGTTCTGGCTTAATTGCCTTCCTCTGAAAAAGCCCTGAGGGGAAAGCAATCCTATATCTAATCAACACGAGAATAGAAATTTCAATTTGCCTTGAAATGTGATTAGTTGAGTCTCTCAGGCCTACCTCTTGTTTCTAAACTCTGCAAATACTAAGTGCAAAAACTTCACAAAAAATGTGAAGAAAGTTCTAAAGTTTGAGAACATGTTGACAAAACCGCCCGTAATAAATATCTTGTTTTCCCTGAGGGTTTTCAAGACCTCATAGGAAGTATAATTCTGTAGGCCACTCTCTCAGAGAAGTGAGTTTTATAGAACAATGTGCTTGGAAATTTTCTGCTAAAAGAATAGCATGGAAGAAAGAATATGGGAAGGAGGAAGAATGTAAAGAGGATACCTCAAAAGTTTTATTAGCAGGTTAAGTAATTCTGCTTGGTAGAACAGATTTGTTTCTTTTTTAAAATACACTTTTATTGATTTAGAGACAGAGGAAGGCAGAGGGAGAGAAACATTGATGTGGACGTGAGAGAGACACATCAATCAGTTGCCTCCCATACACACCCCGATACATGTGTTGGAACCTATAACTTTGGTTTGTGGAATTGAACCTGACTGGGAATTGAACTGGCAGCCCTTTGGTGCGTGCTCAGCCAACTGAGCTACACCAGCCACGGTATTTTTGATCCTTAATTTCAACTTTCCGTGGTTTTGTCCTTTCTTCATTTTTTCCACTTCAAGGGAACATGGTTGATGGGTCCTAGGCCTGAAGCTTGTGAATTAAGAACTGTTTAATTCATCCATCGGTGTTCCCCAACAAGCACTGAGTGTATCTTCAGGGATACCTGAAGAGGGGCCCATCATTGTGACCCCACCAGAGGAGTCCTACTCCCTGTGCCAGTAGAGGTCCCTTCAGAAAACCTAGTAGAAGGAAGGTTCTTAATAGACCCACAAGCAGAAACAGACCTACAGTTTCTTTTATTGTAACTATCGGCAACCATTCTTTTGGCTCCATGTCTTTTGAAATGAGCACTACAATAACCTCTATGCATTAAATATTTCCTACAATTTTATAATCTAACAAAAGCCACTATGGTTTCACAGGTTGCCGGGAGCCAGTCCATCCTTGCTGTTTCAAGGGACCTGGCATATATGGCATACTGTTCTTAATATGTTTGCTCACCTTCTTGGCGCTGTGTTTTAACCAAGGTCACCTCTCTGCAAAAGGTTGTTTCCCCAGGTAGGGATTTTCCCCTGAAGTTAGGGAGGGAATAAAACCCCTTATCTAAGTGCCAGGCTGGTAATTAATCTCTTTAACTCACAGAACTTAGAACTGACGATCCTAGAGACAGAACTTAGCGACGGAACTTAGCGACGGAACTTAGAAGACAGAACCTGGCTGGAGATCCTAACCAGAACTTCTCTGGAGATCCTGACCAGAACTTGGCTAGAGATCCTGGCTAGGCTGCTGATCAACCGAACACTGTCTCTGTGTCATTCCTTCTTCACTGACTCCGTCCACACCTTTGGGGACCCCTGGACCTGCTGGGGTTGGACCCCAGAAACAGGTGAGTGTAATTAGAATATGTCCAGTCCTCCCCAGTTGTTGTCTGTAATCTCATTAGAAATGTCCCAGCTGCTAGATAAGAAGACATATAGGAATACTATTTAACCAGAAAACTGTTGGAAACTCATAATCACAATCATACATTGGTTAACTGTTGGCAGGAAATTTTCTTTAGGATAATACAGTCCCTGCCTTCACCAAGCATCATTGACTCTGGTGTCAAACAGCATCCCAATTTTTTATTCAACAAATAAATAAAACAAGGAAAAAATCAGAGACATCAACACTGAAACTAATTTTTAATTGATTTTTTTAGAGAGGGAGGAAGAGAGAGGGATAAAGAGATAGAAACATCGATAAAAGAGAAACATCACTCCGGTGCCTACTGCATGCCCCCTATTGGGGATTGAGCCCACAACCCAGGCATGTGTCTGACCTGGAAGATTCACATTAACTGTGACCTCCTGGTTTATGGGTCAATGTTCAGGCACTGAGCCACACCAGCCAGGCGAAACTATTTTATATTGGATTGTTACTCATGGTTGGCAGAAATTTTCTGTTTTCAGCCTAACAATGACAGTATGTATACTATAAAATAATTTGTATTCCAAGGTATTTCCCCTCTAACGTTAAACAAGTAGATACACTGGACAATACTGTAGGTTTTGTACTCCTGGCTGAATGAACCCATTTTATTGTCGTCCTAATTCAAAGATGGTGTTTTATCTGTGGTTAAGAAGAGCAGAAAGCCTTCCCACATTAAAGGTGTAAGAACTATTCTTTGTTTGCAGACTTGTCTGTCAAATGAGTAAAAAATTCCTTCAGTTTTACTTAAAGGAGTATTTGCCAGAAAAGCAAGATTGGGTTCAACCCCACAGATAAGTGTCAGTTGTCAGTCTGTTTATTAGGAAGGCTGCCCCTTTACCTAGCTTAAAAATTGCTAGTGGCTTTTCCCAGATTCTACTGACAGCCTCACCCCACCCCCAAGAATAAGGGGGAGGGGAGAGAGGGAGAGAAAAAACCTATTCCAAGTTCTTCTCACCCTTCTGTACCCCATAAAACAACCGTCTGGATTACACACCTGCTAATTCTGGAAGCTCCTCCAAGTTCCCCAAATCTCCCAGTAGATTTTAAGCTTCCTTGGGTACAACGCTCACCACCCCAAACACCCTTCACACAGCGTACACAAGATATTTTAGACCTTGATGAATCCCCGTGCAGTCAATCAAAGGTGCTGTGAACCCCAAAGGCAGCAACAGCTGAAAAATTAGAATCCCGACGTCAATCAGAACACAGTCCGCTATGTGTCTGGCCAGGACCCTCCAAGTGGGCGGGCGCGCCCAGCCCCAGGAGCGAATCAGAAGCTGGCCCAGCCGTTGCCATGGCCACGTTGTTTGTTAGCACGGTGCACGCACACTGCGCGCGCAGGGAACCAATCAGCGGCCGGCCAGGGCGTTGCCATGGCCACTTTGTGTGTTAGAGCACAGCAGGTGTGGGGCGATGGAGACCCAGGGCGCTTTTTCCCGGCCCAGACCTAGGCCCAGCGAGGATCCTGGCAGCCGCATCCCTAGACACCCGCCTCTGCCCGATTTCCTGAGCGCGCGGCATGAACCGCAAGAAGTTGCAGAAGTTGACGGACACCTTAACTAAAAATTGCAAGCATTGTAAGTACGAATCAAGTGCTGGATTAGCGCAGGCTCCTGGTCCAGGTCTCCTGCCCTACCGGGTGCTAAAATGTTCTGCCCAACCTGCTTCCTAACTCCCAGCCTTTGGGCCCTGGAGTCCCCTCCACCACCCTTAAAGAGAAGCCTGGACGGGAATACCTGGATGTTAGCTTTTCGGAGCAGGCTCCACGCCTGCCAATCAACTTAAGGATCGCTATCCAGGTGTCCAGGCATCTAGGATTGCACTCCCACAAGCACACTTACTTGCTTCTCAAGCGCTCTTCTTAATTTACCCTTACATTACAGATACGTGATTTATATACCCAGGAGACACATGTGGTTTTAGACTCGGTCATAGGTGTAAAGTGACTATTCAAAACCAGGGAGTCGAGAAAAGTATCACAAGCAACATACACTTGCATTCTAGCTTTCTAGAGCAAGTAAAATGACAGGGTTCAATACTGGGTACTTACCAAGAGATCCATAAGGAGAAATGGTTATCAAGGATTGAACGCCCTTAGGAAGCAAACCTGTGTCAGAGCTGGATGGGAAGTGAGCCCAAAGAGCTCACCGAAGCTAAACACATGGTAAAGAATCTGTTCCCAGCCCTAGACTTCCACTTTCCAGTTGCTGGTGGGGTTGCAGGGTACTTTGCCAGTGACAAGATGAGCACTTATTAAAGGTATCTGCTCCAACTGCACATTCTAAAAGGCGGTCCTAGACTTTCCTAGGTAACTTTAGAATTGTATTCAGACTGAAAAACAGAAGTGTGCCTGGGCCAGGAAGATAAGGACATGGTTTAGGTGAAGATGGTGTTGTCCATTGAGCAAGCTTATGAATTGCATGCTGATTGCAAAACTACTGGCCACCTGAGGAAATAGAAGAAGACATAATCCCAAGACCACTCCCACTGTGCAAAGAAGGAGGAACAAACATGTTTTAATGTAGTTCTAGAGATTACAGGATCTCGTTTCTTTTAATTGTATGTGTACCTAATGCAATGAGTAGTAAGAAAGGCTCTCTTAGTGGAGTGGTGCTGTAAATGAAAATTAGAGTGTGTATAAGCATCTCAAACTTCTTAGAAAAATAGTCATCCTGTCATTTAAGGCATTATTATGGTTATTATAATATGATGAGAGTTTGTTCTGTTGTTGTTTTTCTTAAAATACTTCCATTTCTGGGAGAAGACCACACCCTCTAAGACATCTGGTAAACACTTTGAATAAAAAATGAAATAATTTCAATATACAATGCTGAATTTAATTTGCTCCCTGTTCAGTACGTTTGCAAACAGACATGCTGTGAATAATTAAGAGGTGAGTGTGTTAAAAGATAAAGAAACACATGGCAGGATAAACTCTTGCTTTTTGTACTTACATAAACATTTTAAAGTGAGCCTGAAAAACTTGGATGATTACTAGTTAAATTCTATAGGAAGAGTTTCAAGTCCTTGACATTAAATTCCTTTAAACAGAGGACCTTTCACCTAAAGTTATATTTCCTTTCAGTTGGCAGATGATAATCCCACTAGGATTAAATGGATAAATTTTGTGGAATCAGAGAAGAAAGTATCTTCAGTGGTCATAGAGTTAATCTGCAACTCTACAGATATGATCTGAAGAACAATCAAACCAACCCCAAAAAATGAAAGCCCATCCTTGAACTTTTCTTAACTGTATTTAGTATTGTATTCTAGAGCTTAAGAAACATTTCAGCAAGAAAAGTTTTCTTATGGCTAATCTTGCATCCTTGGGTAATAAATTAAGCTAATATTCTTTCATCTTTATTTCAGCCGAGATGGAAAAAGATGAAACATAAAATGCTGAGTGAAGGGGATGTTGTATAGTCAGTCACTCTTTAAGCAGTCTTTTCTTTCCCAACTAGCCAACAGCCTTTTTACTTTGAGAATATTTTTAAATTGTGGTTAAATTTTACTATTTTAAATGTACAGGTCTGTGTATTCAATTTATTTAAATTGTTGCACAACTGTTACCACCATTAAGCTCCAGAACATTTTTATCTTTCCCAACTGAAACTCTATACCCATTATAGTATAACTCCCCATTTTCCACTTCCCCAAACCCCTGGCAACTACCATTCTACTTTCTGTCTTTATTAATTTCATCACTCTAGGTATATCATATAAGTGAAATCATACAGTATTTGTTCTTTTTTGTTTGGCTTATTTCACTCAGATAAAGTTTTCAAGTTTCATCCATGTGCCAAAATTTCCTTCCTTTATGAAACCAAATAATCACCCATAGTATGCATTTACTATATTTTGTTTATCCATTCATTCACCAGTGGACACTGATTGCTTCCACTTTTGGCTACTGTGACTAACGTTGCTATGATCTTTGGTGTGCAACAATCATGTCTCACTCGCGGCCTGGGGGCCACATGTGGCCCACAATGAATATTTTTTGTAGCCCACCTAATATAATGGTATGTAAGAAATATTTTAATAAAAATTTTGTAACTTAATTTTTACAATATTCTGTTATACATAATCCTATATAATAAAAGCATAGTATGCAAATTGTCCCCTCAACCACGAGTTGTCCGGGAATTTGACTAGGGAGTAGGGCCAGCCAGGGGAAGGGAGGGAGGCCCCGGCCGGCAGCCGGCAGCTGCTAGGGACTCTACCAGTGCACGAATTTCATGCACTGGGCCTCTAGTTATTAATAACGAACTACAACGTTTGCTAATGACTGATTACTGTAATCATGTTGCATTCATTTCCCTAATGTGCCTTATGTGCAGGCACACCATTCTCTCCACTAATACTAGCAGCCCATTTTATTCAGCATGTCTCTATAGAAATAAACCTACGTTTCTATGAAAATTGAAGCTTTTGCTTTTAAGTTGCCCACATAAACTTAAACCTTCTTTATTTGGCCCATGGCAGCCTTTGAGTTTGACATGCTTGGTGTACAAGTATTTGAGCCCCTGCTTTCAGTTCTCTGGGTATATACACAAAAGTGAATCACTGGATTACACAGAATTTCTGTGTTTAACTTTTTGACAAACTGGTATACCATTTTCTACTGCAACTAACAGCTCTTTTAAAAATTATAATCATTATACTCTTGTCTATTATTTAATTTATTGACTAAATCATTTGTTTTTCAAGGTTTTTAATATCCCTCTTACATTTTGGTATCCCAAACCAGAAATCATACTCAGGCCTGTCCTGACCTGTAGGATTAGATGTGATTTCTCCATTTCTCTGTTCTGTCTTCTTTTACATGCATGCAGGTTTTGTCCTTGTTTTAAAAAATACTCTGTCTTGGTTTGAAATAAACTCATCCCCATCTTCTACCTATAATTCATATTTAAACTCACTTTTTTGTTCTTTTTTAAAGAATATATATTTTTATTGATTTTTACAGAGAGGAAGGGAGAGGGATAGAGAGTTAGAAACATCGATGAGAGAGAAACATCAATCAGCTGCCTCCTGCACACCCCCCACTGGGAATGTGCCCTCAACCAAGGTACATGCCCTTGACTGGAATCAAACCTGGGACCCTTCAGTATGCAGGCTGACGCTCTATCCACTGAGCCAAATTGGTTAGGACTCACCTTTTTGTTCTTAATGCTAGGCAATAACCCTTCCACTTAACATATCTGAAATGGGAATTGAAACACAAATAATTATCTCACTCTTTAAAAACACCACCCTTTATACAATGATGTGTGTTGACAAATATGAATGTGTGTGTATCCTTTCAATAAAAATTGCCTTCATTCAAAGTACTGCTGAATAATTGCATGTTAATTTCAGTTCATCTGCAATAAGAGCTACAAGAGTGCTAAAATATGTTTAAACACTTTTTTTGGAAAATGGGTGATTTTAATTTCCAAAATCTCAATTATGGATTTACTAAGGCTAATATGAAATAAAAATTGTCTCCTGACTTTCAGGAGCCTGGTATCTATTTCCAGGGGAATGCTAAATTACAAGTCTCATGAGTGCCTATAATCAAAATGCAAGGAAGGTTAGCATTCTTAAACATTACCATACTTACTTTGAACCATATCCCTGCTGCCTTTTAAGGCTTAGGATTGGACCCCACGATCATCACTCAGGTACCTTGACTGATACTGTCTTCTTTTTTCCTAAGTGTGACTGAGCTTGCACCTGTTGGATATTGGAGGGAAGGCTTTTTCTCTCATTTTAGTGGAGAATCCTCTGTAGTAGCCATCCTCTGTTAATTTAAGGGTCATGAATCTCAAAACAGATATGTCTTCTGCCCTGGCTGGGTAGCTCAGTTGGTTGGAGCATCCCCATAACCTCCTGTAATCTACAATGTTGGGGATGATTCCAGGTCAGGGCACATACCACATACCTAGGTTGCAGTTCGATCCCTGATGGGGATGTGTAGGGGAGGCAACTCACTCTCTCTCTCTCTCTCTCTCTCTCTCTCTCTCTCTCCTCCCTCTCTCTCTAAAATCAGTAAAAACATAGCCTCGGATAAGGATTAAAAAAATACCATAGGATTGCTGACAACTACATATCTGATGGCTTTAAAATGTTAGTCTATAAATTCATTAATGCAAAATTTAAGTTAGAAATTAAAGATTTAAACACATTTTTGTTATATCTTTATTTTTCCACAGTTAATAAATTTGAAGTGAAGTGTCTTATAAAACTTTATTATAACTTGGTGGGAGATATAATAGAGCGACAAGGTGTGGTCAATGGACTGGATCGTAATGCATTTAGAAACTTCTTGCATGTGACATTTGGAATGACAGATGACATGATTATGGACAGAGGTAAGGAAAAATACAAATCCAGCCATAACTGAAAAAAAAGTATTGAGTTGGACTTACTGTTTGTAAAACCTTGATGTTCTATATTCCCAATTTCATTCAAATATAAAATTTAAATCTTTATATTCAAGAAAAATATCATAGGAGAGGGAAATGAGAGTGAGGGGAGTTTAGGGGGGATAAATGGTGATGGAAAAAGACATGAGTTGGGGTTTGAACATGCAATACAATATGTAGATAATGTATTACAGAATTATATACCTTACAACTATATAATTGTGTTAACCAATGTAACCCCAATAAATTTAATTTTTTTAAAAGAAAAAGATCATAGGGATGGAAATAGTATCCACTCTATTTTGTGTATTTAAGAAGTGGACAGAGTCAGCTTGAATAATTAGGCTTCCCTTACTTTAAAAAAGAAAACATAAAATATTTCTATTTTTACTTAATAAATATAATAATAAGAAGAATAGTTTTAAAAGGACATTTAAGTTTCTTTACATCATTGAAAGTATTTCAATAAGAATCAAGATATAGTCCCGTCTACCATGTAATAAAGCATTACATTTGTTGAGTAACAAAAATACAAAATTATATATTTTATGTTAATATAGCAATATATTTAATATATCAATAGTTATATGTTAATAACTAGTTATTAACATATTTAGATATTCAGAATTTACTTTGTTACAACAAAATATGAGGAGAAAATGTGAAAGTTAGTTTCTTCCTTTGTCAAATGGGAATGTTGGACCATATGATCCTGAAGTTTTGTTTAAACTTTAAAAGTGAGTAGTACCAATGTAGATTACTGAGAGTAAAAATGCAGCACAAGTATTACATTGCCCTTATTTTTCTTTTTAGTATTCCGAGGTTTTGATAAAGACAATGATGGTTGTGTAAGTGTATCAGAGTGGGTATATGGATTATCACTGTTTCTTCGAGGAACTTTGGAAGAAAAAATGAAATGTAAGATTTCAGGTTATCCTACTGGTTTGCACATTATGCCCAGCATATCTAAAACATTTTAAAGCGATTTCTTCCAACCCAGCCAGTGAAGGAGGTTGTTGGTTGGTGGGTTGGCTGGTTGGTTGGTTGGAATACCCGTTAGCCTCTTTTACGGAGCAAATTCAAGTCAATGCTAAAGGTTGAAAAAAAATTAATTAAAAGAAAAATCAAGAGATTTTGAAGAGTAATTCATGTCAAGCAAGACTAGATAAGCACATGTTATAGGTGCTAATCATGTATATATACATTTACATTAAAGGTCTTAAGATTATGTTTTTGCATATTTAAGTACTTGAATTATAACCATAAAAGTAGGGGATATTGATTCTAGTGCTCTGATTCTTAGTTAATTCTTAATTTTGATGAACTCTGTTTGAGAATTATGTCAACATTAAAATTTTTTAATAAAAATAAAAGAATTATATGTCAGTTTTCCACGAGTTTCAAGATGAAAAATATCAACTTATTGCTTCTTTTTTACCTTAATTTTCTTTTTTTAAATTTATATTTATTGTTGAAAGTATTACAGATGTCCCTTGTTTTTCCCTCATTGACCCCCTCCACAGTTCAATTCCCCCCGCCCCCCGCCAGGCATTCACCACACTATGTCTGTGACCATGTATTATGCATATGTGCATCATATGCATATAAGTTATTTGTTGAGGATCTTCAATCTGTTACATGCTTCTATGTCTTTGGATCTTTTTTGTTCATCAGTTCATTAGATTCCACCTATAAGTGAGATCATGTGATACTTGTCTTTTTCTGATTGGCTTATTTCACTCAACATAATACCTGGGGGGTATTATGCCAACTTATTGTCTCTTGTCATGCTTCTCCATAGCTGACTGTAATGAAACTTTTTCTAAGGAATATTGCATATATTCAACAAGTGAACATTAAGCATTTATTATGGAAATTAGATTGTGTTAAGGCCTGTGGCATTGATTAAGAACATCAATATAGACCTTGGTCTTGAAAACTTTATCAGAACAAATGTTACCTTAAGGATAATATCAAATTCCTAATTGGCTATTTTTTAAAAGATTGCTTTGAAGTGTTTGATTTGAATGGTGATGGATTCATTTCAAAGGAGGAAATGTTCCACATGTTGAAGAACAGCCTTCTTAAACAGCCATCTGAAGAAGACCCTGATGAAGGAATCAAAGATTTGGTTGAAATAACACTTAAGAAAATGGTAAATATGTATAATGTAGAGTTTTATATTAAAATTTAAAGGCTAATTGTGGGATAAAAATAATAATTCAAATGATAGTAACTATCAGTTTTCTGCTTGGTGAAATCAAACACCTGGATTATGCTCTTTTTTTATAATATTGATAGTTCATTACAATTTAACTAGTCTCCCTTCTCTAATACCTTATTTCCAGTAACATTTGACCATGAAAAGACAGTTGTATCTGCAATAAGTATTTTACATGTTGACGCATATACGGCTGGTCACTCCTAGGATCATGACCATGATGGGAAGCTGTCCTTCTCAGACTATGAACAAGCTGTGAGAGAAGAAACTCTTCTACTGGAAGCTTTTGGACCATGTCTACCTGATCCAAAGGTAAAGAAAGATATTGTTACACTGGCCAGGGGATTGGAGCACCGTTCACGGCACTAAAAGGCTGCAGGTTTGATTCCCAGTCAGGCACATACTTGGATTATGGGTCCCATCCTTCGTTGGAACATGTGAAGGAGGCGACTGATCAATATTTATCATTTCTCTCTCTCTCTCTCTCCTCTTCCTCTCTATAAAATAAAAATAAACACATCCTAGGATAGGTATTTAAATAAGGAAGAAAGGTATTATTTTTTACTGAACAGTGACCAAAATATAATGTAGGATCAACAACCAAGTCTTCTTGGTTTGGTGAGTGATGGATAAAACAAATAACCTTCAGCCACAGGGAATAGCTTATAGATAGAGAAAGCCCCCTGAAGAAGAACCTGATCGTTCATTTTATAGTACTATTGTGGCCGAATGCTATTGTTTGTTAACTCATTAAGTCATTCATTTATGTAGAAACAATTATTGAAGCTTAATGTGGACCAGAAGCACATATGAAAGGCTTAATTGAAGTTCTCAAGGGTTAATATTTTTTAGGAGGAATGTCAACATGAAAATAATTACTCAACAGTATGATAAGTATTATAATAATAGTTAATGACATACAGGTTTCATCTATGCCATCCACTGTTATAAGCACTATCATCCACATCACCTCATTTAATTCCCTTATCAACCCTATGAAGTAGGTAGTATTATTATTCTCATTTTACAGATGAGGAAACTGAGTTTTGAAGAGTTTAGCCCACTTGTCCAAGTTCATGCAACAAGTATGAAGTACCCTGGGTCCCCTGGTTCTAGAGTCCATAGAGATATGTATAGAATATTGTGGTGCTCACGAAGAGCGCATCAAAACCAGCTGTATCAGATGACTGGTAAATGGCTGGTGGGACAAGGAAGGCTAGGACACAATAGTCAGCTAGGTCAAAATGGGGACGAATAATGAATAATCTAAGCAAAGGGAAGGCATGATGCGCACAAGAGAGAGAAATGAATCTGTATTCCAAGAGCATTTGGTGTGGTATGAAACTGGTGATGAGTGATGATGCTGGAGATGCATAGAAGGGCCAATCCCAAGGGAGCTTGGAGTCTGGATTTTGTCTTGAGTGCCTGAGGATTCATTGGAAAATTTTAAGCAGGAAGAATGATTTGTTATATAAATATTACAATACACCTTCCCCCAGTCTCTAGTCTGTATCTCTAGGTGCCTACTCAACATATCCAATAGATAATCTCAATAAATTATTGGTTTTCCCCCCAAATTTGCCCCTCCCTGTCTTCTCTGTCTCAATAAATGATACCCCATACATTCAGGTAATCAATCAAAACCCTAGGAGTAATCCTTAATTTTTCTCCAATTGCACCTTTAGCTGTTCCTTCAAAATGCACCCTTGAATATAACCTCTTTTCCACAGGTCTGTTGACCACAAACACAAATCGTTGCCAGCATCTGTCACATACCCTAGATCATTAGCCTTCTTGCTTCCACTCTTGTCCCCGTACTGACTATTCTTCACAATATCCAGTATATTTAAAAACACAAATGGATTCTGAAGTCTTATACAGTGGCCCCTTTCTCTCTCCAACCACCTCTCCCACTCTCCCTCAATCTTTCTTACCCCTGGACCTACCCCAGCTACCTCGCTATTCCTCCCTAGTTCCTTTTTCAGTTACTATAGCCTCTGTCTAGAACAGTGATGGTGAACCTATGACATGTGTGTCAGAGGTGACACGCGAACTCATTTTTTTGGTTGATTTTTCTTTGTTAAATGGCACTTAAATATATAAAATAAATATCAAAAATATGTCTTTGTTTTACTATGGTTGCAAATATCAAAAAATTTCTATATGTGACACAGCACCAGAGTTAAGTTAGGGTTTTTCAAAATGCTGACACACAGAGCTCAAAAGGTTCGCCATCACTGGTCTAGAACATCCTTTCCACAAACCTTCACATGCCTCATTCTGTCATGTCATTCAGTCTCTATTCAAGTGCCATTTCCTCATTATGCTCAAATACCATCGACCATCTTAACTACCCCCCTCCTTTATTCTGTAATCTTACTTCATAGTTCTTATCATTACATAGACTATATATACTCAAATACTTATTGTGTGTGTCACCATATAGATATAAGCTCCCTGAGGATGGGAACTTGGTCTTGTTTCTACCATATTTCCCCATATACTGTGCATAGTACATGGTAGGTACCATGTTCAGTGGATGGATGGATGGCTGAATGGATAGATCTCAGAAGTGTCTGATGGGAAGTTTTGGATCTATAGACCCTTACATCTTCTCAAGAACTACTTCATCATTAAGCTTTATTTTTACCCTTTATCTTCAGCCTCTTCCCTCACTATTAAAACTTTCTTATCAGGATTTAAATAGGTCTAAACCTGTCCCATTTGGAAAAGAAAGGAATAGAAAAAAAGAAGTAAAAAGGAAGGAGGAAGGGGGGAAAGGAGGGAGCAAAAGAAAGAGGAAGGAAGCAAGGAAGGAAAGGAAAAGAGAGATCTTACCTTAATTACACAACTACTTTTATTTTCTGTCCAATGGCTTTGTTTTTCAAAGTCAAATGTCTTGAAAGAATTGTCCATATTTGCAGCCTACACTACCATTACTTCTTCCTCTCCACACTTGAAGCTGCTCTTGCTGAGGTCACCACACCACACTCTCCCTATTAATCCCAAGCATCCAGCTTTTGGGTTTTCGTCTTACTAGACTATATTCCTTCCCTATGCCCAACTGTTTGTCCAGCTTCTCTTGCTCTAGGAAGCATGTCTGCTACCTGCTACCGACTGGCTGTGACATGATTAGTCCTCCTGGCCTCCCAGAGTCTACTGTGTGTTTACTTTATTGCAGCCCTCACTTCAGTGAATTAAGCTCATCAGTTTCTGGATGGTTTCTGCCACTAGACTGGAGGCTCCTGAAGATCTAGGTCGTGTAGTCTTGCTCATCTTGTAGCCCCTCACTAAGTATTGTTCTTGGAATATAATCTGTACTGTCACCATCTGTAAGTGAACAGAAAATGCATGACCATCACAAGTTCTTGATGTTGTTATCTTGTGTCTCTTCAAAGGAGACATACGGACTATCTTGTTTTGTTCTGCCTTTTTCGTAAGCCTGTACTAATATTAGCACTTTTATTTTACAGAGCCAAATGGAATTTGAAGCCCACATATTCAAAGATCCAAATGAATTCATTGATATGTGAATAACTAAATGTCTGTGTTGCCTCAAATGAGTATAAAAAAGGAGGTGTATATGTATTGTATATATATTTTTTCTACTTAGAAAGATGATATTGAATTGTGTGTTTGGGTGGCGAATGTTGTTCACTTACATATATCATTCAACTTTGGTGTAAGCACCAAGTAAAAGGGATGTAAGAAGTTTCTTATTAGATGTTGTTGGGTTTGGGTTTAACATTGCTAGAGGTATTTTATACCTAGACATATGTTGAAGCATGTAACTATCAGAAAAGTTTGTATTAATGAAATGAATAGTCAAATTATATAGTCTTGAGTTATATAAGGCAATTATTAAGGCAAATATTTTTCATGTCAGAAAAATGCTAGATATAATAAAATTAAAGATCATAGAAATACTGAATGTTTTTGGAACAGTAAATAATTAAGATGGTATTGAAAGACATTGGCATTTAACATTTAAATACCATTCTGCTAGGCACTGGGGGAGATTTAAAGAGATGAAAGAAACATGTCGCATATTTTAATATGGTCTTTATTATTGTTTGAGGCTTTGTCATTCAACCTGACTAGATTGTAAGTATCTGAGGGCTGGGGGTCATCATACCCATGTACTGTCATAACAGTACAGTCCTCTGCACAGAACGGCTCTCAATAAGTACTGTGGGTTGAAAAGTACAATAAGATAAATCCAAACTCTTGGCAAGCAGGGGAAGAGGAAAGTGCTGTTTTTTGAGTTTAATGAATGATGCATGGGCACCGCTTTCAGTTTATTTCTGGAGTCATCCTGGTTGCCCCTTCTCCTGCCATGGCACTCAGTTGGCAAGCCTGTTCTGGCTCCCTCCGCTTCCTACGTCAGCTCTACTCTGTCCCCGTCACTGCCTTGGATTCCCCTTGCATACTCCCTTATAAGGGGACCTGACTTCCCCTCTGCCCCCCACTTCCAGCAGGTGCCTGTGGGCATTGGGTGGAAGCATGAAAAGACGGGCTTAGTTACGCTCTTTGAGTTGTTGTCTATCTCTTTAGTAAACATGCCCAAGCGGCTAATATCTCTTCTGTCCATATGTAAATATTTAGAAGCTTTGGGGATATTAAATACCTTTTACTATATAAGATGAAGCAAACGGATACATTGTATTAAAAAATGGACAGTTACAAATAAGTGGAATAAGCAATTCCAAGAAATAAAGACATTTCACTGTCCAAGTATTTTCCTAAAATTTTAGATTGTTATTGAGATGGACTTTGACACAATTTTTCTATCTTGAGTACGTATAAATAATGCAATACACGATGCTTTTCGTTTTGTAACTGTATTTTTCTGATTCTAAAGTAACAGAGATTAACTGAAGAATACTTCAGAAGTTTAGGAAATTCAACAAATAAATTTAAATTATTCATTAATATTCTGGGATAGATTCTTTCAGGTTCTCTGAAGGCACCCTATATGTTTTTAGGTGATCATGTTGAAAATGCTCTTTTGTAAGCTGCTGGTTTTATGCACCACGATCTCATGAACATTTTCTCGGGTCATTAGATGTTTGTCTACAGCCTCACTTGTAATGGCTGCCTAGTGTCCCATCACTACAGACTCACTCAACCACTTCCCTGCCACTCACACATTTTTGCTATTATAAATAATTTCTGAAATGAACTATTCTTATAGGCAAATCTTCTCACATGCATTATCGGTTACTTACTTGGGGTAAGTTTGTAAATAGAGGAATGTTGACTTAGAGGCCAGTGTGATCTTGAGATTTGTAGTACATGTTACCAGATTACCCTCCAGAAAGGCCTACTGTGCTCAATGCATGAGAGGCCGATTCCTTTCCATGCGGTGCACATTCTTTGAACTTCTTTGCTAACATCATGCACCATAATTGGCCATGATTTTAATGTATTATTTAAAGAACTAATCTTATACAGCTGTACCTAACCTTTTTATTGTAGTTTGATTAAAAAATCAATTTCCAAGGGAATAACCCTGTTTTATTACATATTATTTAAAACTAAAAAAAAGTCTTAAAAGAATTCTAAATAATTTAAGTGAAACCTAAGATGATGTTAGTACTTGACCGTAAGATCTCATAGGCTCTGTTCACACCCCTCACTGTTCCTCATCATAATCTGCCCAAATCATTTCCTCTGCTAGTATATCTAGATTTCTGGAGCCCTTCATTTCACTACTGTAGAACTCATAAGTGATTTTAACACTGAAATTTTACTCAACTTAATAGCAGGGTCACCTGAGTACAGAGGACCTTTGAAGACGAGATTTCTTCCCTCTTACTCGGAGCTCTGCCGCCAGTCTTGTCCTGAGTCCTCATCCCAGGAGGTACAGCCAGTGTTTCTCAGCCCCATGTTTGCCTGCCTTCGGGGCGACTCATTAGGACGATGGATGAACAAGTGTAGTTTGGAAGATTGAGTGTAACCTTCCTCTCACTGACTTCTCAACGCTTTGGCTCCCCGTCTCCTCCCCGTGCTCTGCAAAGAGGAGCAGGACGCAGGCCAGGCCCCTCTGGGAGAGCAGAGCATCGCCCCGCAAGCAGCTCGGAGAGATTCTGTTTGGGAAACAATCAAGTACTTTTTTTAAACGACAGGGTTTTAAAACTGCCACTGCATTCTGGTAGTCCTGCATTCTTAACCTGTAAATATCTTTGGGTACAAGATTGCACTTGTAAGAAGCCAAACCAGCAATTGCTCACATTATAAAATCATCCAAAACATTCACTAAGTTCCTGCTTTGTGCTAAGCCATGAGGGTTAAAATATTCCAGGTCAGTTGCTCTGCCCTCACCTTGTTCATATTATATGATAAGACTCTTTGCTGTGTGACAGTTATCACTGTTTAGATTCACTGTGACAGTCCCTCTCCTGCCTTCTCCCCTACTCCCCCCCCC